GCCTGGGGTCCCCTGGGGACTCTGGCTGCCTCTGCTGGTGGCCCTGGCCCAAGCACCAAGCTCAATGCAACATCTCCACCTCAGCCCCCACAGCACCCCAGCCGTGGCTAAGTCACCCCATGCCAGCTGTGTCCACTCCAGGGAGCCCTTGTGCTGGCACAGTGTGCCAGGAACAAGCAGGCAAGCAGCAGCACCATCTCCATGCTCAGTGCCCAACAGGCACTGTGTCAATAGAGCAGACTCACACAACTGGAGGACAGATGGACGTGCCAGGACACCAGGACAGAGTGTGTGGCACACCTGCACGGGCCACCCTGATCTGCGTCACAGGGGGCTCATGTCCTTGCAGTGCCCCATGGCACGAGCCCCGTGCTGCGCCAACGGGCTGGGCAAGTCCTGCCCGAGCTTGTCAGGCTGCCGGGAACAGGTCGGGCAGGAGCCAGTAGCTCCGTCAGGCCAGTCTCAAGCCGGCTGTGCCGTGGGCACGGGGCCCATGGGGACACAGAACTGCAGGGACACGGAGCTCACAGGGATGTGGGAAGACCCAAACCAACCCCCGAGGCTACAGCCCTCCCTGGGGAAACCTGCCCACCCTGAAGGTTCCATCACCAAAGACAGGGGACACCCTGTCCAGGGCGACACTGCAGCTAGGGCACCCCAAGTCTATCCTGGGGAACCCCACGTCTATCCCAGGGGATCCCAGGTCTGTCCTGAGGGGACACAGTCAGTGAAGCTGTCCCGTCCTTGTCCCCAGCTGTGAGGGGTTCCCATCCCGCCACAGAGGGAACACTCCGACCAGGGAAGAGACACTCCAGTCCCTGTCCCCGTGCCAGAGGGGGCACACTGGGGTTGGGGGTTCTGGGGACACACACACGTACCGGGACTCTGGGGTGGGGGGAGTGGCGTCCCGCACCCGGAAAAGGGGCCCAAGGGCGGTCGGGGAGCCCGGTGACAGCGGCAAGGGGGTGTGTTGGGACTCGATAACGGCGGGGGGAGCACCGGGGGGACAGGGTAGCACCGGGGGCCCGTACGGGGGATTCGAGGGGGAGAGGAGGGGCGTTTAGGCGTTACCTTCGAGGATGACCTCTCTGCCGGCTCTCTTCAGCGCCTGCACGGCTTGATCGTGGGTGGCATCGCGGAGATCGACGCCGTTCACGGCGAGGATGGCGTCGCCTAACCGGAGCGCTCCGCTCCTCTCCGCCGCCAATCCCGGGAAGATCCGTGAGATCAGCACCGGCATCCGATTCTCCCGACCTCCCTTAATGCTGATCCCGAGCCCTCCCGCCTCCGCTTTCACCACCCGCACCCTCCTCACGCAACCGGGTGCCGCTGCCGCCGCCGCCGCCGCCTCCGCGTTGCCGTTCACCACGCCGTTCACCACCGACGCATCCCCGGCCCCCGGTTCCGCCGTTAAGCTCAGGGTCTCCCCGGTCAGTTCCGCCGACACGCGGACCCAACGTTCCCGGAGGAGCAGCTCCAGCAGCCCCGTTTTACAAGCCCGGGTCCACACGGCCATGCCGCCGCCACCGCCGCCGCCGGTCACCGGGAAAAGGGGCGGGGCTTATGTAGAGGGGTGGGGCTTTCTAGGCCCCGCCCCCGCCCGCATGGCGCGCTGCGGTAGGTTCGAGGGTATGGGGGGGACGGGGTGGGGACGCTCCGCCCTCCCCTCCGGAGCGACCAATCGCAGCAGCGGCGGCCGAACTGCCGCTGCTACGATTGGTAGCGCCGGCGAGGCTGGGCGGGAAGGCCACGCCCCCGCGCGCCATGTCTGGCGCTGTGATTTATTTCGCGCGCTGCGATTTATTTCACCCTCCCCCCCGCCCTCCCCTTTCGCTTTAAATCTCCCTTATTCCCAGGGGATCTCAAAGTTCCCTCCCTCCATCCTTAAGGAATGAGGCTTCCCGGCCCCACGCAGCACCTACAGAGCCCCATCCCGAGGCTTCCATACACCGGGTGGCTCCCGCGGAGCTCTGTCCTTAGGGAATGAGGCCGCACTCGTCCCTAGGGAAGGAGGGTCCCCTACTCCACTCAGCACCAAAGGAGTCCCTATCCTTAGGAACTGAGGCTTGCAGGTAGCACCCACAGACCCCCATCCTCAGAGAATGAGGCTCCCCTGCCCCACGCAGCATCCAGATCCCCATCCTTAGGGAATGAGGAAGCACCCACATACCCCCCGTCCTTACGGAATCAAGCTCCCCTGCCCCACACAGCACCCACAGACCCCTATCCTTAGGGAATAAGGCTTCCCCACATCAGGCAGCACCCACAGAGCCCCATCCTCAAGGAATGAGGTTCCCCTGCCCCACACAGCACCCAAAGACCCACAAAGCCACTGGGGAGAGAGAAAGAAGCCAGCACTGGGATTAGATGCTGACAGGGACGAAGTTTGGAATTTGAGGTGTCACCTTGTCCCGCAGCTCTGTGGAAGAGAAGAGGGATACAAGGATCAGGGTGACAGGGTTGTGTGACAACAGGGAGTCTCACACAGCACAGATTAGCCATAAGACCAGAGATGTACAGAACAGA